CAGACAGACAGACAGACAGACAGACAGACAGACAGACAGACAGACAGACAGACAAGAGGCGAGATTCCTGACGGGGACGTATCATCCCCCAACACGGAAAAATGTGCGGGGGTGGGGATGGCGGAGAGAGAGAGATTGAGGGAGAGGCCATGATAATCACATCAAGAGATCTGCTAGGCTAAAGGAAACAAAGAGAATACTCTGTGTTCCAGTAAACGAGTATTGATAACGCCAGCAACAGTTCCAACCTGGGAAATCTTCCACAGCCCGAAGGCCAAATCAACAGAACGATTTAAGAGCAGAGTGTGAGTAGATACAGTAAGAGTTTTACAGCACTTGCAACACAAATAGTTTCTATAAGTGCCGAAGATTACATGTGTCACTGGAGAGTAACAAAGAAAGAAAAAATGAGGATTTTTAAAGTTTTAGTAGAGGGTCTTACGGCGCTCGCAACTGCATAAGGTCATATGAGCGCCAGAAGATTAGAGGTGTTACAAGAGAGTAACAAACATAAAAAAGAAGAAGGGGAGAAAAGGACGATAGATATTTGACAGGAAAGAAGAAGCAAACCACACCAGAGCACCCGCCAACCAACCACAAAAAGAGGATCGATTCTACGGGCGATAGAAGATTGATGAGAAAGAAGGAACAAACCAAACCAGAGCACCGGCCAACCACCCACATAGAGTACGACCACACACACACCTCCCCGTTTCTTTTTTCTTTCTTTAAGACGGTGTTTTTACGCCCCCATCGCGACAATTTAGATAATTTAGAAGGGGGACTTCCGACCCTGCCTCTGATGGTTAGGCCTAACCCGGGCTGAGAAGGATACAACATTCCTGAAGAAAGACCGAAATACATGTACCCAATAAAAATTCGATCAACTCAGGAATCGAACTCAGACTTCCTGCGTGCGACAGCGAAGCGCCAAAGAAATATACGTCGCCAGGAACAATAATATAAAATGGGAAAATAGTAAAAGAAGTAGACACTGCATTCCACCTAAAGAGCTTCACCAACCATTCACTAATCGCTCAGCAGGAAGAAGAAAAAAACAGTCTTGGCTGATTCGAGCACTGTGCAAACAACGCTTGTAAACGACCCCCCTCT